GCCACCTGAAGTCCGTGCCTTGCGGGACTTATCAGCTTTCCGCAGGGCATGTAAGACATATCTGTTTCAATGGGACTTTGATCTCTGATATTGCTGTTTTTAAATTGTTTTAAATTGTTTTTAAATTGTGTTCGATTTTAGCCTGTTCTTGTAAGCTGCTCCGAGCCCCAGGGGAGTGGCAGCATATAAGTTCGAATAATAAATAAATGCTTGAGATAGTGCTTGCAGTTCTGGAGGGACTCTTAATTTTTTGCATCTCATAGACTTAGCATGGGGATTTGGTTAACCAGTTAAAATTCATGAGTAAACCAGGTTTTTTTTTAAAAAAAATCTGAAACATTTTGGGGGGGGGTTGAACCCCTAAAAAAAACCCCTCGCTACAGGCCTGAAGTTGGGGGTGTGTGTGTTGAATGCTCTCATTAAGGAGGCCAGACTTGGTGGAGGTGGTTGAACAAGGGCGGAGCTGCAGGCTATTGAAGGCTGCTCTGCCCCCTGCTGTGCTCTTGGCTTCAGCGTGAGCTAGGAGGCAGGTTTCAACACCCCCCCCCCCGCGAAATTTTCAAACCCCCCCCCCCCCGAAAATTTCAACCCCTCCCGAAATTTTTTTCTGGCTACGACCCTGGATTGAGGGATGGGTCCAACTATATTACCTAACTCTTTTTAGGATTCAACTGCTAAATTAGAAAGCTAACAGTCAATCCCTCCTCCCTACAAAAGCATTTTGGGCATAGATCTACTTCAAGCTTCTTAACAGTTTTCACTGTAAGAGGCTTTTTCTCTCTCTCCTAGCTAGCATTCAGATAATTCTCAGAGCAATTCCATCCATTTTTCTCAGAGCCTTTTCAAAAGACTCAGCCGCAACCATCTACACTAAAGGATGAATCAATACACTTCTTAACACAGGCAGAAGTGCCCATGGCCTTAATTACATGCAACCTCTCCTGACCTTCTTCAGCTTCTGTTCCCTTGTTATATTCTGGATAGCCTCAGCTATTCCTTCACGGGTGTTATTGCTTTCCTTTCACTCCCTGGTTAACTGCATTTATGTTTTATTCAACAACAAACATTTGCAATAGACACAAAATTATAAAAAAAATAGTAAGAGCAACTGGAGAATATTACAGTTCCATTGAAGGGCACAACAGTTCCAGTGACAGTGCAGCCAGTACAGTAACTTGAAGCTGTGTCCAGAATCGTCATTATCTATCCAACACTACTGTTTAAATTGTAGCAACTGCTTTGTTCCACACAACAGAGCCATAAAGGGCAGCAGAAAAAAAGCAGGTGGTGTGTGTGTTTATGTGCAGATACATGTGCTTAACCCAGTGGTTCTCAACCTTCCTAATGTAGTGACCCCTGAATACAGTTCCTCATGTTGTGGTGACCCCCAACCATAAAATGTTTTGTTGCTACTTCATAACTGTCATTTTGCTGCTGATATGAATAGTAATGTAAATATCGGATATATAGGATGTATTTTCATTCACTGGACCAAATTTGGCACAAATACCTGATACGCCCCGGTGTGAATACTGGTGGGGTTGGGGGCGGATTGATTTAGTCATTTGGGAGTTGTAATTGCTGGGATTTATAGTTCACCTACAATCAAAGAGCATTCTGAACTCCACCAACGATGGAAATGAACCAAACGTGGCACACAGGACTCCCATGACCAACAGAAAATACTGGAAGGGTTTGGTGGGCATTGACCTTGAGTTTTGGAGTTGTAGTTCATCCAGACAACACTGTGGACTCAAACAATGATGAATCTGGACCGAACTTGGCACGAATTCTTAATATGCCCAAATGTGAACACTGATGGAGTTTGGGGAAAATAGACCTTGGCATTTGGGAGTTGTAGTTGCTGGGATTTATAGTTCACTAACAATCAAAAAGCATTCTGAACCCTACCAACGATTGAATTGGGCCAAACTTCCCACACAGAACCCCCATGACCAACAGAAAATATATGTGTTTTCTGATGGTCTTTGGCGACCCCTCTGACACACCATCACGACCCCTCTAGGGGTCCCGACCCCCCAGGTTTGGTTCCCCCCAGGTTGAGAAACACTGGCTTAACCATTCATCTGGCCAATTGTATTTTCTGCTGTTTTCCATGTCTTTTGCTGCACTGGCTCTGTAGCAACTTTCTTTTTTCTTTTCTTTTTCTTTTCTTTTCTTTCTTTTTTTTTTTTGAGTTAACAATTCCAGCCTAGGTTGCTGTGAGTTTTCTGGGCTGTATGGCCATGTTCCAGAAGCATTCTCTCCTGACGTTTCACCCACATCTATGGCAGGTATCCTCAGAATGCCTGCCATAGATGAGGGCCAAATGTCAGGAGAGAATGCTTCAGGAACATGGCCATACAGCCCAGAAAACTCACAGCAACCCAGTGATTCCAGCCATGAAAGCCTTTGACAACACAATTCCAGCCTGGTTTCCATCTCAAATAAAGGTCTGTAATTCTTTAAATAAAGAATAAAGATGACTTTAAGAGGTACCTGGCAGGTAAGAACATTTTAAAGGAATTTCCCCAAATATATATAATATACATCAACCTCATGAATAAGTCAAGAGTAGGTTTCGGTGCCAAAATTATGGCTTTTGATATGACTCAAGGATAATTTGAGGGTCATTCTATAGAGAGGGGAAAGCACCAATGCTGCCTCAGAGGCCATTTTCCACCCAGGCATTCACAAAGGTCAGAAAAGGCATTGTGGAAGGGAAAGTAGACAGTGCCAGTGCTTCTTTTAGATTTGTCAGGAATTGGCTAAGCTCTTGCCTTTCACCACTCTACTCAGAAAAGGGGGGTTAAAACTGTTTGTGGAAGTGGGAACTTGTCTATGGAAGTGGGCAGCCCAGCCACATCCACACACACATAATTTCACTTTTATTAGGTACTAGCTTGGGGACCCAGCAATGTCTGAGTTATTTGAAAAAGGCATTGTTTGTTTTGAGATGTTCTCAGTTTGGTGTGGGTGAACTACAATTCCCAGAATCATGGGTCAATCCTCCCCAAACCCTGCCAGTTTTCAAAGTTGGCCATTTTGGACCTGTGTGGTAAATTTGGTCTAGGTACGTCATCGTCTGGCTGTAGTGCTCTCTGGATTAGAGTGAACTACAGCTCCGAGATTCCAAGGGCAATCACCCCCAAACCCTGCCTGTATTCATAGTTGGCCATGTTAGTTCTGTGTGCCAAGTTTGGTCCAGATTAGTTGTTGATTGGGTTTTGTGCTCTATGGATGAGGGTGAACTACAACTCCCAGATTCCCAGGGCAATCTTCCCGAAACACCTGTCAGTATTCACAGTTGGCCATGCTGAGTCTGTGTGCCAAGTTTGGTCCAGATCTGTCGTTGGCTGGGTTCAGTGCTCTCTGGATAAGGGAGAACTACAACTCCCAGATTCCCAGGGCAATCACCCCGAAACCCTGCCAGTGTTCACAGTTGGCCGTGTTGAACAATTAACAAATGTCCTTACAACTGAAATATTAGCACACTCAAAAAAGCAGCAGCTGATAAGCATTTCGATGGCCATTGTTGCAGCATTATTTTTGGACTTGCAGAAATCTTGGCCCGGCCTTTTAAATTTTTTAATTGCCTCGAACAAGAAGGATTACTTTTAATATATATGTGTTATGGTGACAATTTTTATGCTTATATTTTGTTTTATTAATCTTACGGTTGTATGTTGTTTTTACTTTGTATGTTTTGTGATGTTACCTGGGAACCACTCTGAGTCCCCTCGGGGTGATGGAGCGATATATAAATAAAGTTGTTGTTGTTATTATTATTATTATTATTTTAGTATTATATCATTTATGAAAACAGTTTAAAATTGAAACCACATTTAAAAGTTACATGCTGTATATCTTCATTAAAAAGAGAAAACCCTCAGGAAGGTCTGGGAGGTCACTTTCCAGAAAATGAAGGAAAATTAGACCACTTTCTTTCAGGGGGAGTTCTACGAAGGGCTAAGCACCCCTTATTTCTTCTAGTTGACTCTCCCCAATACTGTTTTGCAAGGAGAGAAATAGAAGCCAAAGTATTAAAGGGTGCAACAGCCTCACATGATGTTCCAGCCCAGGTTTTGAATCTAATTGCTATGCCCTCTTTATTCCTTTACCAGATTTTTAAAAAAGTACACAGTAATAATAAAAACAGAAAGGAAATGTAGGTTAGATGTAATACATTAATATGAGTCATTCACACTATATTGTTTTGCAAGCCATAAGATATGACTTCACTCTCTAATAAAAAAAGTGTTAAGTGCAGAGTGCTGATTAAGATCTTTTCCCACCTCTTCCCACTGTATGTCAGTCAACATATCTGGTCCTTGTTCATTATTCTCCTATAATCACTTGCTATTCCATTACTAACAACCACAAGTCTTTTTCATTATTCCCTTATTAACAGCACTGCCAAGATTGCATCAACCCTTTTGCTGTAATGCCGCAATTTCAGCTCAGAGGAAGGTTCTCTTCAACACCAAAACGTTGTTGGTTTTAGGTCCCCACTCACTATGTCCCACTTGCACTCTCTTTGTCTGAGGTTGGAAATAATTGATTATATTTGTGGTCTTCAATGTGTTAGATAATTTTCTGATATTTCTAAAATGAGGACTGGTAATTAATGTTTTACATAATTTCCTTTTTTTCCTTTGGGGAGGTAATAGAGGTAGCCATTTTTAGTCATCTTAGTTGTGGATTTTTATTTAAAAGCGTCATGCTATGCCTTGTTAATTATTAATTCAACAAATTAATTTCATCGTTTTCAGTGACACAATTAACTTCAATGAACTGGATGTTGAATTAATGCTAGTGCTTCAGCTTCGACACTGCCGTTTGCAAGCCTCTCGTGTGTAGGATGTTCAATAAATATCTTTGCAATTTCAATTATAGAATTGAAAAAGTAAAGATAATATTCAAGGACCCTGTATTATGACCCATGAGTAAGAACTGTTTTTCCAGTAGTAAGAACTGCTGAACAGAGAAGGGAAGCTTACCTCGACAGTGAGCCCCTTCATCTGAACCATCCACACAGTCGCGTTCACCATTGCACAGCTTGATCATGGGGATACAAAGATCTGTTCCCAGGCAGTTGTACTCGTTGGGCTGACATCTTGACACTTTGCTTTGCGGACCTGTAATACAGGAAGAAACACAATTGTCATGATAAAAGATACAATGAGCATGAAGGCCACAGTGAATCAACCTGGTTTGAGAAATGCAGCTAAGGAACGTGAAAAAACAAGCGATGTCTTGTATGCAATGTGCCTTCAAGTCATCTGTGAACCTAATTTTCATAGGGTTGTCTTAGGCAAGGGATACAGTCAGGCCTGTAGCCGGGGGGCGGAGGGGTGGGTTAGGGGTTCAACCCCCCCCCCGAAATTTTTCAGGTTAAAAAAACCTGGTTTACTCATGAATTTTAACTAGTTAACCAAATCCCCATGCTAAGTCTATGAGACGCAAAAACATTAAGGGTCCCTCCATAACTGCAAGCACTATCTCAAGCAAATATTGACAATTTATTCACACTGTCATTACTTGCAGCAATAGCTGATGTAGTGAAGCAACCAAGTTGGGAAGGGGGGGTGTTGAATGCTCTCATGAAGGAGGCCAGACTTAGTGGAGGTGGTTGACAGGGGCGGAGCTGCAGGCTATTGAAGGCTGCTCTGCCCCCTGCTATGCTCTTTGCTTCAGTGTGAGCTAGGAAGAAGGTTTCACACCCCCCCCCCGAAATTTTAAACCCCCCCCCCTCTAAATTTTCAACCCTCCCCAAAACAATTTTCTGGCTACGGCCCTGGATACAGTACTCGGGATTTGGAGCCTTATCACATTGATGGGGGGGGGGGGGATTCACCAGCTTCTGTGGCAAATCCACAGGGCAGCAAGGCAATTCTGGTACTCCGCCCCACCCCGCCTTGCGCACAGCAACGCTTGCCGTCACACATGGGGAAGGAAGCATCACTGTACATCTCCCCTGCCAGCCCCGTTACTTCCTACAGAATATGGGAAGCCTCCTCCTGTGTTCTGAGCAAAGTATTGTAGGACACTTACACAACCGTTCATCTACAGAGGCCAGGCAGGAGTGTCATGTTCATCTACAGAGGCCAGGCAGGAGGCTCCATAGATGAATTTATTTATTTATTTATTACAGCATTTCTACCCTGCTCTTCTCACCCCCGCAGGGGGACTCAGAGCGGCTAACAATGGCAACAATTCGATGCCTCAATAATTACAATTATAAAAGCAAAATAAAATCATACAATATAATACATTAAAACAACATTAGATATCCAATCATAAAAGCATTTCCATTATAACAACCGTCTGGTCCAATTCACTGTTCAGGTGCCTATATCCATTAGCCAAAAGTCTGGTTCCACAACCACATCTTCAGTTTTCTTCTGAAAGAAAGGTGGTAGGACGCCGATCTAATTTCGCTGGGGAGAGAATTCCACAGGCGGAGGGCCACCACCAAGAAGGCTCTGTCCCTCGTCCCCACCAGCTTCGTTTGCGAAGCTGGTGGGACTGAGAGCAGGGCCTCCCCGGCAGATCTTAGACCATGAGGCGGAACGTAGAGGGAGATACGTTCGGACAAGTAAGCTGGGCCGGAGTTGTATAGACCAAGACCAGGACTTTGAATTGTGCTTGGAAATGGACTGGCAGCCAGTGAAGTTGACGTAACAAATATCTGTGCGACGAAGTAGTTTGTCAGTTTATTTCCCTGAACCAATTTATTTGCAGTAAAGGGGAAAATATGGATGGTATTCTGAAGGAAGGCAATCATGTGCACCATCTACATTCTGTTGCCAAAAACAAACAGGAGGAGCCAATAGATGCAGCATTATTCCAAATGCAAACTCAGCCCAAAATATTACAATGAGGGTCTGGGTTCAGGGGTAGAATCATGTCTTGGGGTTTGCTTTTGCCTGTAATCGCTAACAATTATTCAGTTGAGCCTGTGCCTTGCAAATTGACTAGAATCCATATAGTACCCTCACACACACATGCACCCACCATCCCATCTTTGTTTTCATTGTTGTGTTCCTTCAAGTAATTTCCGACATGGCATTCCTAAGGAGGCAAACCTATCACATAAATTGGGGGGGGGGGTATTTAGAGCTCTCCTATGGGTCTAAGAGAATATGCCTTGTCCAAACTCACCCAGTGGGTTGCCATAGTCAAATGGGGATTCAGACCTTGGCCTCCAGAGTCCTACTACAATACTCTGGTTCTCCCTTCCTATCTACCAATTTACATTCTGCTTTGAAAAGAAACACACACACCATTCTTCTGGGCAGCTTAATATTAAGGGCTAATTAAGCCGGATTCCTTTACAGCCCAAGAGGAGAGAGGGTTGCCACACAGTGCCATAACCCATCAGCCAAAGCAATTTGCCATGTAGGAACAGCTTCCCCTTGCCCCCACTCTGCCTCCATCAACTGCTTAATCATGACTAGGGTAAGCGTCATTAACAAGCTACTTTATTTCTTTAAGGCGCTAATAAATGAGCTAATTTATTTCATGTGACAAGCTTGTGGTATATCCCAAAGGGCTGCATTAGGCAGGAATTTTTAACCCCAGAAAACCACTTTAAAAGTAGCTGTTCTTTTGCCCATAAATATATGCTCCCTAATTGATTTGGCGAGGGCCCAAAGACAAATAAAACAGAGAAGGCCACAGCTGAGGAGATAAGGTCTACACAGAGAGCCTAGGGAGCTAAACAGCTTGGAGTTCATGGGCTGGAAGGTCCCATTCTGTTTACGAGCTAACTTTGCCCATGGCAGTGATCACAAAGCATTTCCACAAAAGAGCATTTAAATCAGGCTAGTCACCTCTGCTGATGGTGTTAAACTGGGGTCATCAAATATGTATATAGTGTAGATAAATATAACTGTTGTTGATGCTGCTATTAACAACAACAACAATAATATTTTATTATGCTCCAAAGACCCTTATTGCACAATAGGTGTACAAGGTATGCAGGTTAATGAGATAAACAACAGCTGGTTGATTAAACACACAGTTGGGTAAAATTTCCAACAGTTAAAAACTGCTTAAAATGTGTGTTAGCTAGCAGCTTTCAGAAAGAACTATTCAACTACTGACCATTGTTTAGTGCTCTCTCATCTTCCTGAGAAACATGCCAGACTACTACAAAGCAAGCTGTTCATGGCCTTCATGGACCCAAAATTGCAATAGAATATCCTGAAGAAGAGCCAGTGATTTCCTAATGAAACTGCCGGAGACCTAACTACTACTGGAACACTGAAAGGTACAGAGAAGAATCTATTACCTGAGGAAGGTGTTCCCACTGCAAACACCTAAAGAAGGAATACTACTCAGGATACCTTGTAGTAACCTTTGTCACCTCGTAGAACTCTTCTCTGACACTACAACTTTGTAAGCAACAAATGGTCCTCCATTATACTTTAAATTGACTGTTTGAATCATCAGACATATCTTGTCAACATATTGGACTATTGTGTTTATTAAGAGGAGACTGATGTCTCCCATTTGAAATTTATGTGAATACTGACATTTATTTACGATAGAGACATGTTTTGTACCTTTATGTTGTGTATATAAGTTTAAAAAAACCATGTTGTATGATAACACATTTGATGTTTCAAATATAACAATAACATACTATTTCTTGGTTGTTGTAGGTTTTTTCGGGCTATATGGCCATGTTCTAGAGCTTGCCATAGATGCAGGCCAAACATCAGAAGATAACGTCTTTAGAACAGTGGTTCTCAACCTGGGGTCCCCAGATGTTTTTGGCCTACAAGTTCCAGAAATCCCAGCCAGTTGACCAGCTGTTAGGATTTCTGGGAGTTGAAGGCCAAAAACATCTGAGGACCCCAGGTTGAGAACCACTGTTCTAGAACATAACCATATAGCCTGAAAAAAACCTACAACAACCCGATGATTCTGGCCATGAAAGCCTTTGATAATATACAATTTCTTGTGTTTTCTGAGAAACATGTCAGACTACCATAAGGCAAGCTGTTTGTGGCCTTCATGGACCTCAAATCAGCATTTCACTCCATCTCAAAAACCAAATAATGGGGAAAGCTGAGTAACACATTGGAAGACAAAAGACTTCTAGGCCAGTGGTTCTCAACCTATGTTGAGATGTTTTGGTCTTCAATTCCTAGAAATCCTAACAGCTGGTAAACTGGCTGGAATTACTGGGAGTTGTAGCCAAAACACCTGGGGACTCACAGGTTGAAAACTACTATTCTAGGCCTTATCAAGGCCCTTGACAAGGAAAGCAAATTTCAGATCAGATGGGGCAACCTGGACCAACTCTCTGGTGAGATATCCATGTCCAGAGAGGTACGCCAATGATGCATCCTTGCCCCCCCCCCCTATTCAACATATTTCTAAATGACATGAAGGATACCCTTTTGGACCCCAATGGACACTTGCCCAAGCTTGGAACTAGAACCCCCTTACTGTTTTATGAAGGTGATGCTGCCATGATCTCACACTCCAGGGCAGGTCTAAAGGAAATTCCTTAATTACTATTCCCAGAATGATCTAAAAATCAACTACGAGAAATCTAAAGTTCTGGTAGTTGAGAATGTTGCTATTGGTATCAGGGAAATCTATCCTGAAGCTGAGGTTAGGATGCAGGACCCCCATGAAAATGAGGAAAAGCAAATAATAAATTCTTTTTTTAAACCCAAGAGAATATATCTTGAGAAATCTTCAGGTCCTTCCACTGATTTTATATTTCCACAGAGTCCCCACTGGAGGATCTGGAGCTTTGTAAAGAGAACATTTTGATCAAATCCTCAAATAATCACATCTGCAAAAGTTGAACCTGTAAATGTGAAAGACCAATTTGCAATACTACCTATGGCATTTGATAGCATCTAGAAATTTCCCTAAAAGTCAAACACATGCCAAGGGCTTTGCTTAGAGCCAGCTGGTTTTGTGCCACTATTGGTACATAAGGGATTACAATTTTAGAGATGCCAGATGCAACCATCTGTGATGGTAAGTGAAAAAATTTAATCCTATTTTTTTCATATTGCCTATTTCTAAGCAAAAAGTCTGCATATGCACAAGGTGGTGGTGGGAAGTCATATTTTAAAGAGAACAAAGACCCAGCTACCCAGAGCTATAA